CCCCCCCTTCCTCCCTCTCTCTCTCTCTCTCTCTCTCATCTCTCTCTCGACAGGGTCTTACTATGTACTTGAGGCTTGAGCCGCCATGCCTGGCCAATTCCGGTATGCTCTTTTTCTTCTTTGGTACAAGTTTACAGTACCTAATGATTGCATTCCTTATGAGCTCATAAATGTGCATAATACATCCTAATTCTTTTTTAGCCCCTTCCTCCCCCAGTCCTGTCACTAAAGGTATTAAATACACTGGTACTGAACCTCAGCTAAGAGATAATGACCAGGGTGAAGGAGCGTTCACATCCATGAGGAACACTCAGAATTACAATATGAACGAGGTTAAAGGCTGAACACTTTCTAACATGGTAAACAAGGTTTTTAGGGGGTTTTTTTGGTACCGGGGATCGAACTCAGGACCTTGTGCTTGCGAGGCAGGCGATGGCACCAGAGCTAAATTCCCTGGCCCAGGTTTTTAGTATTTTTATAAGATAGGTTTACATAAATTATGTTTTGTAATCCTCACAGCGATTGGGGGTTGGTAGTAACATTGTTATTCCTTCTGCAAGGGAGGAAGCCACTGAAGTTACATGACCTTCATACTACCCAACTACAGTAGTATTACACTATTCATTTTGGTTTTTTTCTTTTTTTTGGCACTGGGGATCGAACTCGGGTCCTTGCGCTTGCGAGGCAGGCGGCGGAACCACCGAGCTAAATCCCCTGCCCGATGTTCTGTTTCTCAAGTTTTCCTCAAACCACATCCCAGGGATTTTCAGAAGAGAAAACCGTGCTCAGCCATGTTTCCTGTTGACCAAAATGTGACCTCCAAGGTAGAAAAGATGGCCCGGGTGTGGTGGTGCATGTCCCGGCTACTCTGGAAGCTGAGGAAGGAGGATGGCGAGTTCCAGGCCAGCCTGGCCAATTTATTAAGATCCCGTGTCAAATGTAAAAAAGGGCTTGGGGGTATTGCTCAGAGGTATCGCGGTTGCCTACCAAGTGTAAGGCTTTGGGTTCCACCCGTAGGGCGGAGGTGAAGGATGGAAGGAAATGAGGTGAAATCGCAACGAAACGAAGGCTAGAGACAACTCATTGATTTCATCATCTCAGCTGTCACCAGAACGTCCACTGGAGGGAAGTGGGGAAAGGACACAGGAATTTCTGAGGTTCTCAGTGCAATAGTCGTGATGTACTACTGGCCAGGTTCTGGAATATTAGCGAACTCCTGTCTCCTCCAAGACCCAGAGTACCCGCTCTGGTGCCATTGCACAGCATGGAACCTTGGTTCCAGGCGCCCGCCAGCACTGCATTGCCCCGCCCCACGCACGCCCGGGAGCCAATCCGCGCTCGGGGGCGTTCCCAGGGCCTCTTGGGCTCTCCGCAGCGGCTCTGACAGGCTACTGAAGAACCGGAAGTGGTTCCTCTGGAGGAAGCGGGAGAGACTATGAGGGTGGAGCTTGTGGTGTTCACGCCCCATTTCCCGAAGCTCCTTCCTAACTCACCTGGCAGCTAGCTGACTGTGAGAAAAGAGTGGCTAGTCTTCCGGAAGCCGCATCAATGGCCTCCGTGCTGTCCTACGAAAGCTTGGTCCACGCAGTGGCAGGAGCGGTGGTGAGGCGGGGTCTTCGCGCCCAGGCCCCAGCGAAGTGTGAGGGCATCCCGGATCTAGTCTCGGGATGCGGCTGGGGGTGGGCCTGAGAGGGGGACCGTGTGGGTGAGCTCTGTCCGGACTAGGACCCAGAGAAATGGGCCGTAGAAAGTTACTGGAGAATTTGGGTTGAGTGCCGACACTCATCTCGTGCCCTGGCCACCGGTCTCCTAGAGACTACATAAAGACAGCGGTGGTCACACATGCCCAGAGGGAGTCGGGGCGGTGGGGGGGAGAAAGATTATTGTTGTTTTCTTTCCCTTTTGAAGTTTAAAGCCAGTCATTCCTAACACCTCACCCCACATCCCACCCCCGCGCAAACTAACTTTGCTAAGCTGGGCTGCGGGGAGAACCTGAGTGTGAAACTATGTTGCTCAACCGTAAACTGAATTACAGCTACTTCACACACTTCCCACAGTCAAGTTGTAATATCCAGTAGGCTATCTCTGGCGAGTATTACGGGCAGAAAAAGGATTTGAAAAATATTAAGATCATTGTTGCTCGTCATCACACATGCGGTCATTGTGAGGCATGGGCCTGTTTTGGGGGCTTGTGGGTGTCTAGGTTGCATTTGACACCCTCCCTTTTTCCTTGAAGATTTTTTCTGTTTTTGGCTTGAGTAACTTTCTTCCTCTGGTTCTTCTCTTCTTCTGACTGCTCTTTCTCATATCCTTCATTCTCAACAGCTGTTGGAGTCACTGTGACTTCAGAGGAACATCAGTGAATCATCTCCTTTGGTTCCCAAAAACTTCACTGAGAGCTCATGTTCTGTGTAGTCTAAATTTGAGTTGAACTTCAATTCCATCATTTGTTAGCTAAGTGACCTGTGAAACTCACTTTCCTAATCTGTAAAGTGAAAGAAATTATACCTCCCTCTTTTGGTTGTTTTGAGAATTAGGTGATAGTATTTGAAAAAAGTGACTTACTCAGGAAGCCCATTTCATTCGGTTCTCCAGAAAAGCCTTTGAGCCAGTGTAAAGGCATTGAAATGGAGGCTTGATTGACATTTTTCTGATGGTCATGGAGGCCGGTGTGTCTTGAGTGGAGGGAACAAAAATGCAAAAAAGTTTCAAGGGACCGAATTGTGTGTGCCTTTATCTCAGAGTGGGAAAGAGCTAGCTGCTGAACTTGTTAATTTACATTTTAAACATGATCACCTTGGCTGCTCTGAGAGTATACAGGAGCAACAGATGATTGTCAGGCAACAGATGATCATGTCTTGGACTTGGATGTTAGTAGTAGAGGTGGTAAGAAGTGATTGTTAACCTGGAATATATTTGATAGAAGCCCCAGGGTTTGGTGGTTGATTTGGTAATGAATTATATGTGAGGTGTACCAGAATAAAGGTTGGTTGATCCCAAGACTTTTTGGCTTGAGGAGTGGGAAGGATGATACTCCTATTTATTGAGATGTTGATGCCTGTAAAGGAGCAAGTTTGGGGAAAAGGATGAGCTTGGTTTTGGTTTTGGACCAGTTAAGTTTGAAGTGTCTTAAAATAGTCTTGAGACTAAATGTTTAATTCAGCAAGGAAGTGAGCAGGGACTGAGAGAAAACTCTCAATGACTGACCCTTGAAGGAGGCCAGTGTTAAAGAGATTGGGGAGCCAGGTATGGTAGCGCTTGTCTGTGATCCCAGTTTATAATCCCAGTACTTGGGAGGCTGAGGCAGGAGGATCACCACAAGTTCGAGGCCAGCATGGGCTACATAGCAAGAATGTCTCAAAAAAACAGGGGGGAAATAAGATCACAAAAACAAAGAAGACTAAGGAAGGGCCTGTGCAGTAGGAGGAAAACTGAGAGTGGTGTTCTGAAAGGGACATGAAGAAAGTGTTTAGGGAGAAGGGTGTAGAGTAGACCAACTGGTTCAGATCATACTGATAGGTCAAGTAAAGTGAGGACAGAGAATTAACTTGGATTTATCAACATGATAAATCCAGTTGACAGTTGAGAAGTCCAATTTTGGTGGAGTGGTAGGCTGAATAGTTTGAGAGTAACTAAGATAAAATGGGGAGATGGGAAATGCTTATTCTCTTTTCCTTTTTTCATTAAATGCTATTCATTCAGTACTTTTGTTGAATGTATTCCCTATGCAACAGACTGTTACAAATGCTAGGAATACAGTGGAGAGCAAGTTCTTTTCTTCATGAAGTGTGCATTCCCATTGGGAAGTCAGACAATAAATAGTTAAACAAAAAGTAAGGTGATTTTCAATAGTAGGTGCTATAAAATAAATAGGGTTGGTGAACATTTTTCATAAGGGCAAATATTTTAGGCATTGTGAATGTTCTCTATCACAGCTTATTCGATGCTGTCTGGAATTATGAAAGCAGCTATAAACATTGTATAAGTGAATGGGCAGAACTGTTGTTTCCATAAACCTGGATAAAAACAAGCAGTTTGTATGGATCATAGTTTTCTGAGTCCTACTATGTAGTGTAACTGTGGGTAGAAAAGATATATCTCTATTTAATCTACAAAAGTATTTTAATTCTTCTCTCCTATTGCTTATTTTTCTCTTGTTAAAGCACCACTTGAAATTATTTGCTCTCAATTTGCTGAGTTTTTACCCTTATAAGCATGAGGCTATCAAACATATCTACTTAATTTTATTTATTTATTTATTTACATAGTTGTTTGTGACAGAGTCTCCCTATGTGCTTCAGGCTAGCCTTGAACTCAGGGCGATCCTCCTGCTTTAGCCTCCCAAGTGCTGAAATTACAGGCTTGCATCACTAGTCCTGGCTTCTAATATATATACTTTTGTAAGAAGAATTTTTTTCTCTTTTTCTCAGGGTAGTACTGTTTTTAGTATATATCTGAGTGAAAAGTTGTATCTTATGTGTGTGTATTTTTTTTTTTCTGGTGATGCTAGAGAGTGAACCCACCGTTGAGTTCAATCCCAGCCTGCTTTGTGTTTTCTCATTCTTTTGCACCATCACACTAAAGAGTGGTTCTCAAACTCTTTTTGCAGACTTCTGTATTAAGGTTAAACCACACAACAGATCTTACTTTCTTCTGGTTGCTACAAAAAGAAAAATTTAACCACAAAATGTAACTACAATTAATGAGGAAACTAGTGTTAGTGTTTAATGGTATAGGATTATAGTGAAAGCTGATAATTAAACTTCCTGAACATAATGTTCAACCCAAGCTTAGAGATGGTTATGGAAAGTAAGCTTAGCATAGTTGGTTAAAAGAACTTGGATGCCTTCCAGGAGCCAGGCAGCCTGAGTTAAAACCCCCACTTTGCCTCTGACTAGAGTTCTCTCCCCTCTGTGACCTTGGTGTATACTCCAGGGCTTCCTGGCATAATTGCTTCTTCCCAAAGGGTTGTTGGATTATTGTTTAAGATGCTGATTTACAATTTTTTTTATGAAGACATAAAAGAAAAATTTATAATCAAGTAATAAGAGCAGCAATAGTTATTATACTGTGTATTGTTATCTTCATGTGACATGAATTTACCTCAATAACAAATATATATGGAAATAGATTTTTCTGTGAATTGAATGACACTTCTGAGAGAGACACTAGCAATTTATTCATGGAATTATATCTAATTTTGTAATTGTACCTTTACATTCTTCTTTTTTTTGTTGGTACATTTTATTTAATTTTTTTTGTTAAAGTCTTTATTAACAAAAGCCATTTTAATACTTGTAAGTTCATCTTAATATTAAATAGGATAAGATGCTTAATAGTTGTAATTCAACACTTTATTCCAGTTTAGTCCTTTTCAATGAACTTACTGTGAACTTGTTTATATTTTAATAGAAGCCATGAATCAAGTATTTAGATAGATGTAGCTAACTACATTGGAAAATGAAAATTTGTAGATGTTTTATCATTAGATCAGAGTAAAAAATGGATATGATAAAGGTTGGTTTACAAATAATTTATCATTAGGCATTATACCTTTTTTTCTTTCCATTAAGTTTATTGGTACAGGCCAGGGATTTAGTTCAGTGGTTTCGCCGCCTGCTGTGCAAGCACAAAGACCAGAGTTTGATCCCTGGTACCAAAAAAAAAAAGTTTATTGGTATATTTTAGGTATACAGTAACATTTACATTCATCATTGGGATCTTGTACCTTTACATGATGTATCTTGGTTCTTATTTTTTCCCCATTCCCCTGCCGTCCCTTCATCCCCTCCACCCTTCCCTATTTATAAAGACTTTGTTTCAATTTTTTTCCTTTTCTCGTATTTTTTCTTTTCCCTTCTTTCCTTTCCCCTACCACTCCCACTTCCCCTGCTCTTTTAGACCTTTTCTTCCTATTTCACAATATCAATTATACGTTTCCATCCTTATTTACAGTTTTAGTTTTTCACACCAGAAAAACTATTTGGTATTTACACATGTATGTCCTATTTATTTCACTTAAGAGTATGGCCTCAATATGCATCTACTTAGCTATAAATGTCTCTATAATTTCTTGTTCTTTATGGCTGACTAGTACTCCATTTTATAAAAATAAAAAAAAATATCTTTATCCAGTCTCCAGTTGTTGGGCACTTGGGCTGTTTCCAAGCATTCACTATTACAAACTGTACCCCTATAAACATGGTTGAGCATATATCACTGTGGTATTATTCTTTTAATTCTTTTGGGAAGATACCCAGCAGAGGAATAGCTGGGCCAAATGGGACTTCTAATCCTATTTTTTTGAGGTGTCTCCATATTGATTTCCACAGTGGTTGCACAAGTCTGCACTCCCAACAATGAAAGGGTTCCTTTCTCCCCACAATCCAGCCAGCATTTGTTATTTGTTGATTTCTTGAGAGTAACCATTCTTTCTGGGGTGAGGTGGAATCTCAGTGTTGTTTTCATCTGCATCGCTTGAATGACCAGTGGTGTTGAACATTTTTTCATGTTTATTTGCTGCTTTTACTTCTTTGTCTGAGAAATGTCTATTCATTTCAGATGCCTATTTTTGAACTGGGTTTTTATATTTGGGGGTGGTC